CAGCGCCTCCACGACCACCACTGCCGCCGCCACCGCCTCGGCCACCTCCACCCCTGCCGCCACTCCCGCCGCTGCTGTCACCACCCCCACTGCCGCCACTAGCCTCCCCAGCCGCTCCTCCACTCCCACCGCCTCCCCCCCCACCTCCTCCACCCTTGCCCCCTTTGCTCTTGCGGCGCCCGCTCGAAGCAGACGCGGCCCCGACCTTCTCAGCACCAAGGAGGTCGACAGCAGCAGCAGAGGCGACAGAGGGGAGGAGAGGGGAAGGGGAACACCCCTCAAAGAACGGGGTGCGGGGGTCGCCACGAGAGGTGCCTACAGCGACGATGCTCGCCTCAGCTGCAAGCAGTTCCTTCTCGAGGAGGGCAATGGTGAGTTCAGTGGGGGAGCGAGAGAGGAAGTGGTCCCTGACTGTGCGCAGGGAGTCGGGGAGGCGGGTGACTATGTGGTAGAGAGTGATCCAGAGCGGGGGGGGGTTGCTGGTGAGGAACTCGTCAGGCATAGCAGCGCGAAAGCGGGCCTCACTGGTCTTAAGGTGGGTGATGAGGTCAGCAACTGTCTGAAAGGAGGCCAGGTCGGGGAACAGGTAGGGGAGAGTGAGGCGGCCTAGTGTGGCAGAAGCGGGGGAGGAGTAGCGAGCGACTACAGCAGTGTACAGGTCCTTAGCAGTTTTGTGCTGGCCAAAGTGCTCGCGCTCGTCGATCGGTAGGGAGTTACGAATAGCGAAGCGAGCGTGGGCGTCACGAGTCTGCCACTGTGAGCGCTGAGTGCTGTCAGCAGTGGTAGGAGGGGCAGTAGCGTTGCCTAGGGCGTGATCGTACAGTGAAACGTCCTCCTTAGCAGTGAGCTGTAGAAAGAGGTGGAGGTCATCGAGCCAGGTTTCGAACTTCACTGGACGGCCCTCAGCATCGAAAGTAAGTACAGTAGGAGTAGCCATAGCGGCAGTAGCAGTAGCGGTAGAAACAGTAAGAATGAGGCCGCAGGGAAGCTGTGGGCAGTGTCAGCACACGGGCGGCAGCAGCTGATGCGCACGGGCGGGAGCGGCAGTGGGCGCAGTAGCGGCGGCCGCAGTGGGAGCGAGTGCAGCAGCGGCAGCGGTAGCAGGCGCAACAGGAGCGCACGGGCGGTAGCGGCCGCGGCGCACGAGCGGGAGCGGCTGCGGGCGACGCGCAGGCGGTAGCTGCAGCGGCGGGCCCGTGGTAGCGGCAGCTGCAGCGGGCGACGAGCGGGCGGCAGCAGCAGCGGGCGACGAGCGGGCGGCAGCTGCAGCGTGCGACGAGCGGGCGGCAGCAGCAGCGGGCGACGAGCGGGCGGCAGCTGCAGCGGGCGACGAGCGGGCAGGCGCTGCAGCGGGCGACGAGCGGGCGGCAGCAGCAGCGAGCGACGAGCGGGCGGCAGCTGCAGCGAGCGACGAGCGGGCGGCAGCAGCAGCGGGCGACGAGCGGGCGGCAGCTGCAGCGGGCGACGAGCGGGCGGGCGCTGCAGCGGGCGGGCGGCAATGTGCAGGCCGGCGGGGCCGCTGCGGGCTGCGCTATAGCGGTGCGAGCGGCGCACGGGCGGCTAGCCGGTCGCGCTCAAAAGAAATCGGCCGCGCGCGGGCAGCTAGCGGGTCGCGCGCGGTTAAAAAAAAATAGAAAACGAGCCGCGCGCGATTGGCTGGCGGGCTGCGCGCGCGCGGTAGGTAGGAGGCGCACTGGGGCGCGTAGGCGCACGAGGGCGCACGGTAGGTAGGTAGGTAGGTAGGTAGGTAGCGGTGGGCCCTAAGAACGGTCCTAGCGAAGGACCTGCTCTGAAACCATGTCGGAATCAACAGACAGGAATGACTGTACTAGCACAAAGTTGGATACAAGTAGGAAACCCTAATCTAGTGTACCCCCTAAGGTGTAACCCACTACAGCCTACAATCATATAAACATATAATGTTTGATAGCTTGGTGAGGCGGGGAGAGCGAAGGGGGAGGCGGTGGAAATGAAGAGGGAGGTGCCGGAAATGAATGGGGGTGAGGCAGAAATGAATGGGGAGGTGGCGGAAGTGAGTGGGAGGTGGCGGAAGTGAGTTGGGGGGAGGCGGAAATGAGTGGGTGGGAGGCAGAAATGAATGGGGGGGAGGCGGAAATGAAGGGACAGGCGGCACAATTGAAGGGGGAGTTGGCGGAAGTGAAGGGGGAAGTGGCCGAGGTGAAGGGGGAGTTGGCAGCAACAGTGGCGGATAAGAGGTGGGTTGTGGAGAAATGATGTGAATGAGCTGAGGCACTGCACGCTGACATTCATGTGATCCTAGTGTACCCTTTTCCCGCAAGGCTCCATTTGTCTCCATCCTTGCTTCCTCTCCACTCCTCCCTGCTTTTGCTACATGCCCCCTCCTCCCCCTGTTGCCCATCAATGTGTCAACCACCATCTCGTTGTTTAATGTGTGTCATTTTTTCTAATATCATCTCTACCCGTCTCCTCATAATTATGTGCTCCGTTTGTCTCCTCATGTGCACTCAGTCGTCTCACTTTTCCTGCGGCCCCCCCTTCTTCCGCTGCTCCTGCTGCCCCCTTCTTTCACATTTGCCCGGTTACACCTCACTGTGCAGGCGCAAGTCTTGGATGGCTGCAGTGGCCATTCTGCTGCCGGTGCTGCTCGTGGCTTTTCTTCTTGCTGCTGGCGTCGTGTATTTTGGGTGAGGGGATATATTGCTACGTCTAGGTCCCAGGAAGTCTTTTATGCTAATTATGTGGGCGTTGTAATTGGAAACCCATAAGGACGAGCAAAAAACGTGTGTGTGTTCCCACGTGCTCCCATGTGTGTGTTCCCACGTGCTCCCATGTGTGTGTTCCCATGTGCTGCCATGTGTAGAAAGGATGCCATGTCGCAGATGGCGAAGGAACTGGGAACAGTGAAGTGGGAGCTGGCTCAACATAAGGATGCAATAAAGGGGCTGAAGGTTGCGATGAAGAAGATGCATGTTGAACTGCAAATCTGCCGGAGTAGCGGCAATCAAAAGGTTGCATGGGAGGTAAGCATATGGTCCAGAAGGCATTCATTGTCTCACATGGCGTGCACTATTTGATAGTTCTTCATCGTCCCACCTTAATCTCTTCCCCCTTATTTCCGCCAACGAATCAAGGCAGCATCACAAGCAACTGTTTTGAGCCTAGCCAATCTCAACGACCTCTCAGACGACATCCTTCACCATGTGTCTGAAATGACGCATCTTAAGAGCATTGACTTGCAGTATAAGCCAGGGTTCCCTTGGTGGATTTCGTCCTCAGGCTTCAGTGCAGAGGGCATCACGCACCTCTACGGGCTTACACGGCTCGAGAAGCTGGACCTCAGAGGCACGGGCATGACGGACAGTGTTGGAAGGCATTGGGCCCTTGACCAATCTGAGAAGCCTCTATCTCGATCGAACCGAAGTGACTGATGCTGGCTTACAGTGCTTGGTACGCCTTAACTCTCTCAAAGGGTTGAGTCTTACCGGATGCAAGGGAGTGACGAGTGCTGGCATGGTGCACATTGGGAGGCTGACCAGCCTTGAGGGTCTTTGGGTGGATGATACGTCAGTCACGGATGATGGGCAGAAGGAGCTGACTGCCCTCACCAATCTGAGACAATTCGTCTGCCAGAAGAGGCTTGCAGGCAGATAGGTGGATAGAGGGGCAGGCAGTGATGATGGAATTGATCTGGGCTTGTGATAGGTTTTTAACAGACTGTTGGGGTAGCTAAGGAGGGGTGTGGAGTAAGGTCTGGAGATTAAGTGGAGTTTTGTATGCGGGGTAAGGCATGTGTGGTGGTTTTGCACGACTCTGAAAGCCCGAGTCTAGAATGGCAAAGGTTCAACTTCAAGATTCTTGAACTTGTTTTTGTCAAGAACAGGGTAACCAAGTTCAGAAAGCTGATCTCTCGCTACCCACTGGGAAGGGAGTTGGTGGGCCAGAAGGTGATTGGCCAAATGCCCCACAGCAAAAACACGGACGAGCCTCGCCAGAAACAAACAAAGGGGAGTATCACTGTTCACACTTTCAGAACTTGAAACTCGACAATACCTTTCTAGACTCGTAGCATAGTAGGCTCCATAGCCCATATTCTCGTCAATAGTCAGCATACTGTAGTTACGCCCATCTCCCTGCCGTATACTAAGACTTTTGTAGCACATAAATATGGAACTTCCCGGCGACTTTTTAGCGCATAACAAATCCGATCTCGTAGCCAGCAAGGAAGGCATGACCCTCAGATTGATCGCCACCGTGAGACTTACTCGTCGCCGCTGAAGGTTATCCTAGCCCGCACTCAATGCCGGTCCGCAATCACTCCCGTCGTCGTCACTCCCGTCGTTCTCTCTCTCCCGTCAAACTCTCTTTCCCGTCGCGCTCTCACTCCCGTCACTCTCTCACTCCCATCGCGCTCTCACTCCCGTCGCTCTCTCACTCCAGTCGCGCTCTCACTCCCGTCGCTCTCTCCTTCCGGCGCGCTCTCACTGTCGTTGCTCTCTCGCTCCCGTCGCGCTCATTCTACCGTCGCTCTCTCACTTCTTTGCGCTCTCACTCCCGTCGCTCTATCACTCCCGCCGCGCTCTCACTCCCGTCGCTCTCTCACTCCCGTCGCGCTCTCACTCCCGTCGCTCTCTCTTTCCGGCGCGCTCTCACTCTCGTCGCTCTCTCGCTCCCGTCGCGTTCATTCTTTCGTCGCTCTCTCACTACTTTGCACTCTCACTCCCATCGCTCTCTCTCTCTCTCTCTCTCTCTCTCTCTCTCTCTCTCTCTCTCTCTCTCTCTCTCTCTCTCTCTCTCTCTCTCTCTCTCTCTCTCTCTCTCTCCCGCCGCGCTCTCACTCCCGTCGCTCTCTCACTCCCGTCGCTCTCTCACTCCCGTCGCTCTCTCACTCCCGTCGCTCTCTCACTCCCGTCGCTCTCTCACTCCCGTCGCTCTCTCACTCCCGTCGCTCTCTCACTCCCGTCGCTCTCTCACTCCCGTCGCTCTCTCACTCCCGTCGCTCTCTCACTTCCGTCGCGCTCTCACTTCCCTCGCTCTCTCAGTGACTGTCGCTCTCTCACTCCCATCACCCACGCACGTCGCTCGGATGGGAGGCGGATGGGAGGGTGTTTGGAGGGGGTTGGGAGGGGTATGGGAGGGCGGCGGGAGGGGGATGGGAGGGGGATGGGAGGGGGATCAGAGGGGGATGGGATGGGGATGAGATGGGGACGGGAGGGGGATGGGAGGGGGATGGGAGGGGGATGGGAGGGGGATGGGAGGGGGATGGGAGGGGGATGGGAGGGGGATGGGATGGGGATGGGAGGGGGATGAAGTGGGGACGGGAGGGGGATGGGATGGGGACGGGAGGGGGATGGGAGGGTGATGGGATGGGGACGGGAGGGGGATGGGATGGGGATGGGAGGGGGATGGAAGGCGGATGGGAGGGTGTTGGGAGGGGGTTGGGAGGGGTATGGGAGGGGGATGGGAGGGGGATGGGAGGGGGATGGGAGGGGGATCAGGGGGACGGGAGGGGGATCAGAGGGGGATGGGATGGGGATGAGATGGGGACGGGAGGGGGATGGGAGGGGGATGGGAGGGGGATGAGAGGGGGATGGGAGGGGGATGGGAGGGGGATGTGAGGGGGATGGGAGGGGGATGGGAGGGGGATGAAGTGGGGACGGGAGGGGGATGGGAGGGGGATGAAGTGGGGACGGGAGGGGGATGGGATGGGGACGGGAGGGGGATGGGAGGGCGATGGGAGGGGGATGGGAGGGTGATGGGAGGGGGACGGGAGGGGGGTGGTAGGTCGACGGGAGGGGAAAGCGAGGGCGACGGGAGGGGGAAGCGAGGGCGACGGGAGGGGAAAGCGAGCGCGATGGGCGGGGGAAGCGAGCGCGATGGGCGGGGGAAGCGAGCGCGATGGGCGGGTGAAGCGAGCGCGATGGGCGGGTGAAGCGAGAGCGATGGGCGGTGGAAGCAAGGGCGATGGGCGAGGGACTGTGGCGACGGACGGTGGATGCAAGAGATCGACGGACGGGGGAAGCGAGGTCGACGACGCTCTAATTTCTCATCTCGTGGCGCGCTATATCACGGAGATGATCTCCGTGCTTCACATTCGCATTCGCGCCACATTCCCTCCCTCGGTCCACGGATTCCTCTCGATTCCGGCATAATAGCATATATTTTCACAGGAAATACCTAAATATATTACTCTGGATACTTACTAGTTTCCTACCACAGATGCGCTAACTATCTGAACTTGCGCACGCTTCTCAGCCTGCCCCAAAGGTGCGCTTGCTGACTTGGCGATAATCTGGGTTGTTGTGAGTCGCGTGGGGGTGGTTGGGTTTGGTTTTGTTGTTAGTGTTTGTTCAAGTTTCGGGAAGTCGAAATTGAAGTTGCGATACAGTGTAGAGCATTCCGCCTTCGCCACCTTCCCCCGGCGAATATTTCTCTCGTCAACCTTCGCACAACCGTTTTCAAGGCCGTGTTTGGCAGGCATCATGGCCATTATGGCCATAATGGGCATTTTTAACGGGCCCCCAAAAAATGACGCCTGGGCATTTCTCGAAACAACTTCGAAATCGGATTGTAGTGCACATTCGGAAAAACGGGATTGAGTGTTTGGCTGGCATATTTTGGGTGTAGATTGCTGGCATCAATCGAATTTCAGGGTTTCGCGGAAGACTGGTAGGCAGTTGCCATACTGGTTCGCGTGATCATGTGATTGGCTGGCATATTTGACCAGTCACTTTTGATTGCCCCGAATCACTGATACCCCGCACAGTGCGTGGCCTCGAGGCCGCATGGTGCGGGGGATCAGAAAATGGGCACTTTGCAAGAGAAAATGGGTCGGGTGTAGATTCCGGCGGTTTGAAAACGCCTCCAAAAAAAGGGGTGTTTGGTTGGCATTCCATTATTGTTAGGTTCGGCGTAGTCCGCTTATATCGAGCCTTGATAGCCTTTCACACGCTTATCAGGGAAGGTTCCAGGGTGGTCGGTTCACTGTAGCCCATCCCCCTCGCCCCCTTTTTTTATGCCTGCCAAACCCGGCCCAAGTTCAGTATGAACCCTTGCCATTCTAGACGCGGGCTTTAACTTTCATATTGCAGAGAGGTTAGGTGTTTGATGTGGGTAGCATGCATTGGTAATGCCTCTGTGTACAGATCCTCTTCACACACAAGAGAGGGTATACCTTGTAGGTTAGATCAGAGCTGCTGAAGTCAGGGTGTGCTGTGCTGTGCACGTGCACCTACAGTAGTCCTTTACGTCATCATCATCGTGTTCCAAATCACAATTTTAAATATTGAACAGTTAATTCTTATCAAATCCACCTCTTTCACTCTATCTCGATGTTGGAGCACCATCAGTTCAACACTTCCTACGGTATTAGATGTCAGAATAGTAGGCAGTACAAAAGAAGAATGACGAAAGAGGGGGTTTCACTAGCAGCAGTTGGGATACATATAGCAAACCCTAACTGGGTTGTACCCGCTATAGAGCACCCCACTACAGGCTAGATAATAACATTCTGACACACCCCCATAGCCAAAGTGGGGTGTAATCAGCACAATGAGCAGGCATAGCAGGAGTTCACAATAATAAGCAAAGCTAGAGGTAATCACAGCGGGCAAGTGAGGAGGAGGAGGAACTGTGGAAGGAGAGAAGATGGGAGGCAACGACTGAAGCTGCAGAGGCACGGGCACAGGAGCGGCTGACTCAGTGGCTACCGAAGCAAGGGCGACGGACTACTGGAGTGACTGGCTCCGCGGCTAAGACGAGCGGCAGGAGCAACGGACCCACTGGCGACTGGTGCAACAGGCTCACTGGCTACCGAAGCAAGGGCGACGGACTACAGGCGCTGCAGGCGACACGACAGCTACCTCCACACAACCTCCTCCAACTGACCCACACCCTTGACACACACCCCCTGCTGAACCCCTAACTCCACTCCCACGTCACCCCCCTAGCACCACTCCTTCGGCTCCCCACACACCCACCCCCCTGAGCGGCAGCTGCAGCAGCGGGAGACGGAGGAGGAGGAGGAGTAGGGGACGGGGCACACAACCGGCACCCCCACAACCGCCACCCCCGCAGTCCTCACCCCCAAACCCTAAAACGGGTGGCACGGGGTAGGAGCGCGGGGGACGGCGAGGGGGACGGCGCGCGGCCCCCAGGGCGCCACCACGGGGCAGCGAGGGGCCGCGCGCGGCTCCCCAGGGCGCCTCGACGGGGCAGCGGGGGGTCGCGCGCAGCTCCCCTGGGCGGCGCGACGGGGAATCGGGGGCCGCGCGTGGCTCCTTAGGGCGTCGCGACGTGACGACGCGAACGGGGGGGGGACGCGCGGCCCCCGGGGCGCCTCGACGGGCGACGGGATGGGGGGGACGCGCGGCCCCCGCGACGCCACGACGGGCGACGGGAGAGGGCGCCACGACGGGCGACGGGATGGTGGGGGGGGCGCGTGCGGATCCCCCAGGGCGCCGTGACGGGAAGGGCGGGGTGTCGCGCGCGGGTCCCCCACGGCGGGCAGAAAACCGCCGCGCGCCTCGGGGCGCACGGCGGGCAGAAACTCGCCGCATGCCCCGAGCGCACGGCGGGATGAAAACCCTAAAAATTTTCGCCGCGCGGAAGAAGAAGGCGCGCGCATGAGGCGCGCGAGAAGCAGAACAGCAGCGGAAGCAGTTAGGTGGCGGGCCCACCCACAGGATCGACCCAAGGGGGTCGACCTGCCCTGATAGCATGTCAGAATAGTAGGCAGTACAAAAGAAGAATGACGAAAGAGGGGGTTTCACTAGCAGCAGTTGGGATACATATAGCAAACCCTAACTGGGTTGTACCCGCTATAGAGCACCCCACTACAGGCTAGATAATAACATTCTGACATTAGACTCCGCACAATATGTTTCTTCATCTTCTCCACTATGTACAGCCTGCCGCACACCTAAAGTCAGCCAGCCAGGTATTCCCCATGCAGCCTCCAAGACAGCCATGCACCTGCTTCTATCCACCTGCAAGGCACAAGTTCTCAGCCTCACTTCTGTCAACATGCAAATCCACCCACCACATGAATGTCCCTTCTTAATCTTCACACCCCTTGCCACCAAACCTCTCACCACTATACACACACAGTCAACTCTTCCACAAGCTCAGCTCCCTTCCATCATCACTCCCTGCCAGTCCATCCCTGACTGTCTATCTTCTTGCAACCATCTGGCAGAACGAGTTGTCTCAGCCTCGTCAGGGCACTCAGCAGCACCAACAGCCCATCATCCGTCATCTTTGTGCCATCCAGCCAAAGACCCTCCAGCCCCGTCAGCCTAGCCACATGCACCATGCCAGCATTCGTCACACCCTTGCAACCAGAGAGGCTCAACATCTTGAGCGAGGAAAGATGTGTCAAGTGCGGTAAGCCTGCATCAGTGACCTTGGTTCGATCGAGATAGAGGCTTTTCAGATGGGTCAAGGACGCAATCCCTTCCAAGGCACTGTCTGAAATGGCTGTGCCTCTGAGGTCTAGATTCTCCAAACCTGACAGCCTGTAGAGTTGCTTTATACCACTTGCACTGAAGCCCGAGGATGTAGTCCACCAGGGGAACCCTGGTTTATACTGCAAGTCGATGCTCTTCAGGTGCGTCATCTCGGCCACATGGAGGAGCATGTCGTCTGAGAGGCCGTCGAGATTCGCCAGGCTCAGGGTAGTTCCTTGTGATGCAGATTTGATTCGCTGGCGGGAATGGACAAGGGGGAAATGGGTTTAAGGAGGGACAAAGAAAAATCAAAGAGCGCATGCCCTATTAGTCAAAGGATGCTTTGTGAAAATAACCACATACGGTACCTTCCATGCAGTATTTTGGTTCCCCCAAGTCCGGCTGATCTGTAGATCAACGTTCAGCTTCATCGTTGCACTAATCTGTTCAGCCAAATCCCTCTTCAATGCTGCCAGTTCCCTCAGCCGCTGCTCCACCTGCCCTCTCAACTCCCTCCTTTCTTCCAGCTGCACGCCAAGCACCCTCATGCTCTCCTGCATCTCATCTTTCACTGCATCCAATTCGGCTTTCACTACAGCAACCTCCCCTCTGGCTTCAGCCAATCCTCTCCTCTCTTCCAGCTGCGCGCCAAGCACCCTCATTCTCGCCCGCATCTCATCTTTCATAGCAACCAGCTCCCCCTTCAATGCAGCGAGCTCCCCCTTCATTGCAGCGAGCTCCCCCTTGGCTGCTGCCAGATCCCTCCTTGTCTCTTCCAGCTGCTTGCCAAGCGCAATCATCCTCATCCCCATTGCCTCTTCCAACTCGTGCATTCTGGCCATACTTGCCACGAGTGACCTAACAGACGTATTCACTCTTTCGATCTGGGAGTAGGCATGCTTTCTACACGTGGCAAGACATGGGAACACACACATGGCAGCACACGAGAAGACCCACATGGCAGAACACATGGAATGAGAAGTTAGGTTGAGGAAAAAAGTATGAGTGAAAAAAAAAAAAAAAAAAAGTCAAGGGAGGAAAGCCCGAATGGAGATGAATGGGCTGCTTGCAGCTTAGGCAGCATGGGAGATGCTGCTGATAATGGGAGGCAGCTCAAGTGACGGGGAACTATGCGGATGTGAAGGCATGTAAGGTTCAGAAAATACGGGATTAGTGGCATGTTGCTGACGAGTGCGATGGCGACGATGGTAACACCAAGAAGAGAAGCCAACCGCAGCCCTGGCAGCAGCATAGGCACTGCTGTCATCCGAGCCATGGCTGATGGGGCGAGCCCAATGCAAGGCTCGCGCCTGCACAACACAGTGGGGAACGGCAGGGAAGTGTGAAAGAAGGGGGCAGCACGAGCAGCGGAAGGAGGGGGCAGCAGCAGGAAAGGCGAAACAGGTTTACTGAGTGGAAATGAGGAGACAGATGTAGCACGTGTCATGGAAACAAATTGGGTAGGGACGAGACTTGCGATAAATGTCGAACAAGCAACGAGATGGTGAAAGGTGAGGAGGAGGAGACATGCAGGAAAATCAGGGAGGGGTGGAACAAGTGGCAGCTGCACGCTCAGGGGGGTGCACATCTTGTGCCTCACATTCCTCACCTGCGACAACGGCAGCAGCTACATTTTATCTCGAAGCAGTAAAACCGAGGCGACCAGACACGTTTGATCCCACTAGAGCGAAAGGGAGCGACGTCTGTCGATTTGTAGCTGTACTAAATTTTCTCTTCGAAGCCGTTGGATGCACGACCCTCAACCAAGACGCATTGCGCATACGGCTCGCAGCAACACTGTTACGAGGCCCAGCTCTAGAGTGGATTAGCAATAGATTTGTCCAAGGCGAAGAGACGTGGGCGCAGTTTCGGGCAGCACTGATCGGACAGTTCGACGCGTTGAACAGTAGCTACTACGGAACACGACGCAACAAGCCAAATAGTGGCATGGAGCGATTGGCACCACCCACGACTGCCGACCCGATGGAGAACGACAAGGGCGATGCGACGCAGCGGCTAGCAAAAAATGCGACGTGCGAGTTTTGCGGCGCTACAGGACATCGTATCTTGGCGTGTTGGAAAATGAAGAAAGTACGTGTGGAGCTGAGGGGCAAGAACAGTGCAGCACCCCCGAAGCAGAATACGGACAACGTGGCAACTTTGGAGAGGGCGAAAAAAGGAGAATACCGTGGCGCAAAGTTAAAACGTCACGACCAGCCGGCACCAGGGGAAATCGCCGAGACAAATGGAGACTCCGCGAAACAAGACTCTGCACCGACTGGGAAACTCCAGCCGTACACCCCGACAAGTAAGAATTCGTAAAAGAAATCCAAAAGATACTTTAACTAAGAATATTACTTCTCGTGGTTTTCAAGCCTATTTTAAGGAGAGCCAGAAATTAAACCGGTACCGGGTAATATGGGGACCCTACTCCGGAGCGCTAATAAGGGTCGAGCGTTCCGAGGAGTTAATATTCTCTCCCAGCAGCCCCTGTTCAAAGGCTCCCAGCCGTTCCCCACAGGAGCCTACACAGCTGCAAAGTCTTAGAGGAAGGTTCCAGGCCCTAGAGAAGCTGAATCGGCCTCGGATAAATCATCTTAACCCTGCTAAGTTGGAAACTGAGTCAGCAGCTTCGAGTGCAGGACCAAGTATTACTACTGGCCCCGGATGGCAGCAGACGTACAGCAGTTCGTCACCTCATGCGACACGTGCCAGTGGATGAAGAGTAGCAAGCAGAAAAAATCAGGGTTACTTCAGCCTCTACCCATACCGGAGCAGCCATGGCAAGTCGTTAGCCTAGACTTCATCACTGGTCTTCCTTCGACCTCACGAGGGCATGATGCTATACTCGTGGTGATCGATAAGTTCTCTAAAATGGGACACTTCATTCCGACCAACGCCACGGCTACAGCTGAAGCAACTGCTCGCCTCTTCTTCGACCGCATCATCACCATCCATGGCATCCCCGCTACACTCATCTCAGACAGAGACCCAAAATTCACTAGTAAGTTCTGGAGGGAACTCATGGGATTGTTGGGGACAGAAGTTGCGATGTCTTCAGCATACCACCCCCAAACTGACAGACAGACTGAGCGACTCAATCAGGTGGTTGAACAGTTACTGCGCACAGCTTGCAAGGACGACATCAGCCACTGGGATCAACAGTTACCAACGCTTGAGTTCGCTTACAACAACGCGTCGCATGCGGCCACAGGGAAATTCCCTTTCTTCCTATGCTATGGACGAGAATTACTTACACCACAGCAGCCAACTACACCGGCACACGTCCAAGCCGCACACGACTTCGTCACCACCATGCAGCAGCTATGGGAGAAGACTCAGCGATGTCTCACCACGATGCAGAACTCCCAGAAGCAGTATGCCGATCGACAGCGACAAGATCACTCAGTAGCAGTCGGAGATCAGGTGCTTCTCGACACACGCAACTTGGACTTGTCTCACATTCCGTCCAAGCTCCGGCCTCGCTTCTGTGGTCCCTTTCGCGTTGAGGCGATGGTGACACCAGTTACATTCCGCTTGCGCTTACCTTCTACGTGGAAGCTTCACAACGCTTTCCATGTTCAGCTGCTGAAACCCTACAAGGACCCCAACCAACAGTTTACAGGACGACAGCTACCGCCACCAGAGTACGAGGTGAAACGAGTGTTCGCTCATCGACGCAGACGCGGCAACACGCTCGAGTTCCTGATACGCTGGAAGGGATATGACCCGTCGGAGGACAGTTGGGTTGCAGAAGCTGATATGGGCAACGCACGCCGTGCTCTCAAGGATTATCTTGTCAAGCAGGGTGTATCTCACACCACCCAGCTTTGAGGGGGGGACGTGTGAGAGTACGACGGCTTTGCTATGATTTACTAGCTTGATTATGCTTTATTATGCATTATCTAGCTTAGCTTTGCTTTATTTTGCTTGCTTTTGCTAAATTTCCTAGGTTCGTTGCTTTGCTATATATATTATAACTTTAGGCACCGAACTAGGTTGAGTGCACCGAATTCTAGGCTTTTTGGTTGCCACCGAATTGCCTTCTACCGAATTCGGGAAGGACCCGTTCGGGACGCTTCGCGACCCGCGGAACCTTCTAGTAACACCAGGGTTACTGCCTTTGTGTCGAGCCTATATATAGCCTCGCCTTGTACCCAGGTGCATTATTCAATAGTTCAATCTTTCCTGAACCAGATCCTCACAGTAACTGTCTTCGACAACTGTCCCGTCGCTTGATATTTCGTCCTCGCTGCAGTCATCTTCGCGTTAAGGATTCGTTACTTAGGAATGTTTATTCAATCATTCCATATCGTAACAGTACTCACCGGTCACTGCGACTCCTCGTACGCCGACGACGTTGAGACTCAGAGGTCTACACAGGGTTACTGTTTCAGCCTGGGCTCTGGAGCTGTTTCGTGGAGGTCTACTCTCCTCTGTCACAACTTCTACCGCAGAGGCCGAGATCTACGCTGGAGCCCTTGCTGCACAGGAGCTACGCTGGTTGACCTTCTTGCTCACTGACCTTGGTGAGCGGCCGAGCTCTGCACCGACCTTGTTTGCTGACAACAAGGCGATGATTCTCCTGTGTCGTGAGCCTCGACTGGAGAGCAGAGTGAAGCACATCGACGTCAGGTACTTCCTCCTTCGAGAGTTGCAGAGACGCGGACAGGCTCGTCTGGATTTTGTGGCCTCCGAGGCCATCACTGCAGACATCTTCACCAAGGGCTCTTCTGGGTCTAGTAGACTGCAGTAGTGAGTTCTTGCCTCTTGTTTGTGTGTACGATATATATTAGCTTGTACACTCTTGAACTGGCCTTGTGGCCCCTTATTTATGCTCAGACTGTGTGGTGACGTTGTGATCCACCCTGAGCTTTGTTTTCTCTCTTGCTTGTGACTGGTCTTGTGACCTTAGGTTGCGTTTCTTGTTGCTTGGCATTCCCCACTTAGGCTATGGGGGTGCGTCAAGTGTTATAGCCTCTAGTGGGTCATGCTATATGGGGTACAAACAGTTAGGGTTAGGCATTTGTACCCCAACCCAATCAATCTAACTCATTCCGTTGTTTTCAGTTTCTGAGACCCTTTGGCTTAGGGTATCAATGCAAAGTCCATTTGAGAGAGAGAGATATAAAGAGAGCACACCCCCCCCCCCCCCCCCCCCCCCCCCCCCCCCCCCCCCCCCCCCCCCCCCCCCCCCCCACACACACAAATCCCATAATAAAGCAGAGGTCTAGAGGAAAGCGCAGCAGGGGTCCATCCAAGCAAATAACGTCTCTGGCACAGAATTCACTGAAGGGTGATTGGAGAGGAACAACTGTAGTGGTCAGCGTACTGACGCCATGGCTTCAAACCGAGGCTCCAGGATAGGAGGCACCCACACAAATCCTAAGCTGCAATCAAGAATGGTCCAAATGGGAAGCATTGGAGATTCTTAGCTAAAGCACAAGTTGACAGTGCATTGTTGCAAAGCATTTAGACCAGTACACTCCTAACATTATAGAAGCTATACATGTGCCCAAACTTACAACAGCATTGGAGCTGGAGGCGCGGAAGGAGATCCAGGAATTGAGCCTGCAGAGTTCCAACATGGTGATTCCGTTGGATGCCGCCACCTGCTGGAAGTCCTCCCCTGTGCTGACCAGTGTCCTATTCACACATGTCGGCCTGGCCATGGTTGGGTCGCGCTCCACACAGAGAGAGCGGAACGCGGGAAGGCTAGACGGGCAGCTAACATCGGGGTTGACCTGCTGCAGGCTTTCCTCGGTGATGTTGAGAAACTGAGCCACGGACGAGCATGTGTCATTCTGTGGGAGGAAAAGGAAAGTGAGAAATAATTCGAGGGGGCGGGGTTGAGAATGCAAGGGGGGTTCATAGGGGCTGAAGAAAGATGAGGCAAGAGAGAGGTAGTGAAACGTTAAAGTGCAAAAGGACCCAGTAGCACATGGTCTTCGTGCTGCTTAGCAGAGGATGGTTAAGGGGAGAATGCAGGGTGAAGAAGAAGCACAGCGCATGTTAGCACATGGTGGCACCGGTAGCATCTCCGTCATCCCTACATGGTGCATGGGATGCTCCCATAGCAGGAGCGCCATGTGAGACTCACCGGCTGGACGTAGTAGAAGGCAGAGCAAGCTGGCAGAAGCTCTTTCACCGCGAGCTTGCGACCATGAGGAAGGAGAGAAGAACAGTCGATACCCTGGAGAGAAGGGGCAGTGAGAGAGAAAGAGGGTGAGGGGGATGGAGACAGTGGAGTAGAGAGAGAGAGAGAGAGAGAGAGAGAGAGAGAGAGAGAGAGAGAGAGAGAGAGAGAGAGAGAGAGAGAGAGAGAGAGAGAGAGAGAGAGAAGGGGGATGAGAGAGGAAGAGGGTGAGAAAGAAAGAGGGTGAGCGGGAGGTGAGGTATAAAAAGAGGGAGAGTTAGAGAGGAAGAGGATAAGTGAGAGGTGATGTAGAAAGAGAGGGTGAGCGTGAGAGATCAAGAGAGGGTGAGACAGCAAGAGAGGGTGAAAGAGGGTGGAAGGGAAACACGGCACAGAAACAACATGACTCGGTACAGCAGGTGGGAATTCTCACCGGGTTCATGGCGGTAAACTGCTGCAGCGTGAGGCCATACATGGAGTACACCTCCTTGCACCTCCAGTCGCTGCCCACAACTGTGATGGACGAAATTTCTATCCATTTATCATCTGCACACGCTCAATGTAATGGAAGTGCATGATGCATAGGGCTGCGATGGAGGAAAAGGCCTCCCAAACCTCATCTGCCATTGTCGGTCACGTTTGAATTGAGAAAAAAAGTGCTTGCAGTATAGACTACTGTGTGGTGCGTTGCGAACAGAGGGAGAGCTTACCACAGATGGTGCCGTAAGAGCGACGATTGGGTTGACAGACACAGGTCCTCCCCAGGGTGCCGCGGTCGATGCACGTGCCATAATTACACGGGTTGAAACTGTCATAGCCACACACGCCCGCTGGGGGGGGACACAGACAAGGAGAAGAGGATAGCAAGCAGTGGATTTGCAAGGAGGATACATTTGGTGGATCCGTCAGGCAGGAAAGGGCAGAGAAGAGGACGAGCATCGTTGCTTCCAGTAATGAAATGCTTTGATCAGGCAACGGTGCTTCCCACGGGCACAAGCGATGCCCGCCCCAACATCATGTTGGCCCTCGGTTTTGGCGAGCAAGGAAAGGGGGATGGCAAAACAATTGCATTGAGGCTTACTACTTGAACTCTCTGCGTCGGGGTACTCCGAAGAAGCTGTGGTGTTGCTGGCAGAAGCGGTGGTGTTGCTGGCAGAAGCGGTGGTGTTGCTGGCAGAAGCGGTGGTGTTGCTGGCAGAAGCGGTGGTGTTGCTGGCAGAAGCGGTGGTGTTGCTGGCAGAAGCGGTGGTGTTGCTGGCAGAAGCGGTGGTGTTGCTGGCAGAAGCGGTGGTGTTGCTGGCAGAAGCGGTGGTGTTGCTGGCAGAAGCTGTGGTGTTGCTAGCAGGAGCTGTGGTGTTGCTAGCAGAAACGGTGGTGTTGCTGGCAGAAGCGGTGGTGTTGCTGGCAGAAGCGGTGGTGTTGCTGGCAGAAGCGGTGGTGTTGCTGGCAGAAGCGGTGGTGTTGCTGGCAGAAGCGGTGGTGTTGCTGGCAGAAGCTGTGGTGTTGCTGGCAGAAGCTGTGGTGTTGCTAGCAGAAGCTGTGGTGTTGCTGGCAGAAACGGTGGGGTTGCTGGCAGCAATGATGCAGCGGGCGGATTTGACTGCCTTGCCGAGGGGCTTGGACCTGGGCACAGGAGGCACCGTGAGTGCAAGGCCGCTGGTCAGGTGGGGGATGAAGGAATGGCGTTTCGGAGCATAGAAGCTGATAGAGTTACCGTGAGAGCAAGGTCGCTACTAGTCCGGTGGGGGATGAAGAAATGGGTTTTCGGAGCAAAGAAGCAGATAGAGTGAGAACGAGGGGCTCACCTCTGCTTGCCTTGCACGAGAGTGTCCACCGTCTTCCCCGTGCAGCTGGAACTCCGAAAAAACTGAATCGCCGTGCACGAAGTCTTGTTTTCCTGCTGCCATGACACCTGCACGCTCCTACTCCCGCCGCTGGCTGGAATGGCGGCACAGCGGAGCGCGTTGAAGGTGAGAGAGCGGCCGCCGATCTTCATCCACGTGCCAACCTCTGCGGCTGTTGCCTGGGACGCCTGCAGGGGACTCGCTGAAAGGATAGGAGCACGTGAGGTGAGGGGCCATGTTTAGTAGCATCCATGGAATGGCATCGGTGTGCCGCGCGAGTGTGATTTACATCCCGGAGAATGGGCCATTCTCGTGTGGCGAGCATTGAACGTGTGAGCGATGGTGAATGGGTAGGGTGCATCAGCGTGCCACACTGGTCACAGCGTGACCGCACTGTGCATGGGCGTGTGACCGCCTATGGCATGATCGCGCAGATGCGGCGTACCAGCGATGACGGCAATGATGGCGAGTAGCGCAAGCACGGCCTTGCCCTTCCCCATGCTGCTGCTTCCAGCGGACTCCACTGACCCTTCGCCCTTGAGCGCGCGCGATTAGAGAGGAGCTGGTGGTTTGGTTGATAGTTGGGACGAACGAGGATTGGCGACGGACAGCAAGAGAGGATGGTGCGGCAAAACAGTCACACGGGGGGGCGCCTGAGAAAGGTGATTTACTGTCAGTGACACTGCTGGGCGTTTGGTGCTAACTGGTAGAATAGGCGAGGTGACGAGGACGATCGCCACCGAAACTTAATATACTAGGCGTCGCAACGATAACAGCTTTCAGTGTGACTTGCGGCGAGGCGGGACCTCTGTGAGGGGAGATGCGCACCACCCCCGTCACGGCGCGACCCCCGGGCCGTGATCATCGCTGAGAAAGTCGCAGCGAATGCTCTGGTGTGGCGAAAGCTCAATAATGTCACACCGCAGAGAACGCGTTAACGCGTTCCTTGGCGTGGGGAAAGCTCTATGTGCGGAGGCGATGATGCAGCCGACGCGTTCCATGGCGTGGCGTGGCGAAGGCTCCGAGCCGGGCGCGATGATGCAGTCGAAGCATACTAGTCTGTGTGGGGGGAGGGGGGGGGGGGGGGGGTACGCGGGGGGGAACACGATGAGGCAGTCGAAGCATTGAGTCTATGGCGGGGGGAAACGCGATGATGTTGTCGAAGCAAAGTCTATTTCTGGAGGGAACGCGATGAGCTGTCGAAGCAGAGTCTATTGCGGGGGGGGAACGCGATGAGCTGGCAGCAGAGTCTATTGCGGGGAGGAAAGCGATGATGCAGTCAAACCACTGGGTCTATGGCGGGGAAGGAACGCGATGATGAAGTTGAAGCATGAACTATTGGTTGGAGGGGATGTATCGCGTCATGTCATGTGGTCGTGCATGGTGTAAAGCGGTGAAGTCCGATCACCGTTCTGAAACGCGATAATCGACTGCGTTATTGAAAGACTCGTATTAATGAAATTAAATATTTGGAATTAGATATTTGGAAACATGAGTTTTTGATATATTTTGTGATGTTACTAGTGCATTTGAGAGAAAGAACTATAATTGAACTATCAAAGAAAAACATTATATCGCGAAATGAGCGAGTTGCTACATGGCAAAAACAATTGGTAACCATAACACGCCCGCAAAGGGGCGTCGAGGTAACCATAACGCGCCCACAAAGTAGGCACCAGTCAGAGAGCAGTACAGAAACGCAGATGATCACCAGACCCAAAGGCGTTGGTCTTTTTGCAGTGTTGGCCTCGCAAGAAAGGCGACGCTGACTATGCTGCTAGCTCTCGCACGAGAAAATAACAAAGAGCAATTTGCTTTGTTCCGTGGTCCAGTCTCTACTCCTGATACAAAGCAATTGTGACAAGACTCTGAAAGGAGTCTGCAATGTAGTCGTCATAGAGTCTCTCAAAATAACTAGGCAAGAATGATGCATTGAATGGAAGAATTGGGTACAAGTAGCAAACCCTAGTTGGGGTTGTACCCCATATTGGCTACCCCACTACAGCCTACCAACATAACACAGTTTAACACACCCCCATAGGCAAAGTGGGGGAGAACAAAGGGTCACAAGACCAGTCTAGCAAAGCAAAGCAAGCCCAGGGTGGATCACAACGTCACCACACTCCGAGCACAAGCAAAGGCCACAAGGCCAGTTCACATGCAGTGCTAGATATAGTACAAGACAAGCAACACAGTGATCAAGACCTAGCAAGCAAGCAACGAGATATATATAAAGGACAGTACAAAGAAAGTCAAGCAGTAAGCAAATGAGGGAATGTGGACACAAGGCCTAAGGAAGTACAGTGCCGCTGATGATCACTAGGCGGGAGCGCCTTGGTGAAGATATCAGCAGTGTTGGCCTTCGAGTCCACGTACACAAGCCGAAGCTGACCTCGCTGCTGCAGCTCTCGAGCAAGAAAGTAGCGAAGAGCAATGTGCTTCGTCCTGTGCTCCAGTCTGTGCTCCTGACACAAGGCAAGGGCCGCCTTGTTGTCACCGTACAGAACTGGAGGAGAACTAGGCCGCTCTCCCAAGTCAGTCAGCAGGTAGGTGAGCCAGCGTAACTCCTGGGCAGCCATGGCTGTGGCGTAGATCTCAGCCTCACAACTAGAGCCGAGAACAGAAGAAGAGCGGGTGGACCGCCACGAGACAGAACCAGAGCCAAGGCTGAAGGTGTAACCCTGTGACGACCGCTGCGTAGCCAGGTCGTCCACCCAAGAAGCGTCCGAGTGGCCAGTGAGGACAACTCTGTCGCGTCCTCCAAGCACCAGCCCCATGCCTGATGTACTGCACAAGTAGCGCAGCACCCTCTTAGCAGCCTCCCAGTGCTCTCGCCTGTGTCTCCCAGGCGCAACGTAACGAGCAAGGATGCTAAGAGGGTACGCGAGGTCAGGTCGCGTGCAAGTCATCAGGTACATGAGGCAGCCCACAAGCTCTGGGTATGGGCCACTCGGCTCTACGGACTCGTCCGGAGGTGGAGCTGAGAGCGAGTGGCTGGTAGCCAGAGGTGTGGCCTGTGGTGAGGAGAACTGGAAGCCGAAGCGCTGAAGGACCTGCTGCACCATGTGTGACTGAGTCAGGGTGATGGTGCGGCGAGCTCTGTCCCGGGTGATCTGCAAGCCAAGGTAGCTACGCAGTTCACCCAGGTCAGTGCAGGTGTGTCTCTTCTGCAGCTCCGACTTCACACGAGCGAGTGCCTCAGTGTCAGCAGTAGCAAAGACCAAGTCGTCGACGTACACGAGAATGTAGAACGGCGGCAGCGACGTGTCTGTGCGCAGAAACAGCGACGGGTCAGCAGTAGACGGCGCGAACCCAAGAGCCGCAAGTGTAGTCCTCAGTGTGTCGTGCCACTCACGTGGCGCCTGGCGGAGACCGTAGACTGGCCGGCGGAGGCTCCACTGGGTACCAGGAGGAAACGACCCAGTAAAGCCAGGTGGGCGGCGCAGCCAGATCTCCTCGTGCAGGCTGCCCTGCAGGAACGCTGTGCTGAAGTCAAGAGAGTGAAGCTCGTAGTCACGCTGAGCAGCAACGTGTAGCAGAACCCGAAGAGTGGTCATCTTCGGGGTGGGGGAGAAGGTCTGGAAGAAGTCGACCCCCTGACGCTGACTGAAGCCTCTAGCAACATAACGAGCCTTGAAGACAGGCGGAGAACCTGGCGGCCGCTTCACCCTGAAAATCCACATGCCATCGACGATGTTCGCCCCAGGAGGGGGAACCTCATCGACGTAGGTGCCTGTGGACTTCCAGGATGCCATCTCTGCGTCCATGGCTGTCTGCCACTGAGAGGAGTAGGGACCCGAGATCGCCTCTGCGTAAGTGCGCGGAGTGGGGATGTCTATGTCAAACATTGCATGTTTATATTATGTAGGCTGTAGTGGGTTACACCTTAGGGGGTACTCAAAGTTAGGGTTTCCTACTTGTACCAAACTCTGTGCTAGTTCATTCCATTCCTGCTCAGTTATTTCTGACATGGTATCAGAGCAGGTCCTTCGCTAGGACTGTTCTTAGGGCCCACCGACTTACCTACCTGCTTACCTTCGCTTGTTTCCGGCCCCGCTGGCCCCGTCGATCTAGCACGATCTAGCGGCCCTGCGGCCCCGTCGAACCTTTTTTTTTTTTTTTTTCCTAGCGGCCTCTCACGGCCCCCGTCGCGTCGCCCCTTAGCGCCCCGATCGGCCCCGTCACGCCGCCCGCGAACCGCACAGCGCGCCGCGCTCACAGCCCGCGAACCGCCCACGCACAGCCCGCGAACCGCCTGCGCAGCCCGCGACCAGCCCGCGCAGCCCGCGCACAGCCCGCGAACTGCCCGCGAGCAGCCCGCGACCTGCCCGCGAACCCCCGCGAGCCGCCCGCGACCCGCTTACGCAGCCCGCGAGCAGCCCGCGCAGCCCGCGCTGAGCCTGCGCGGCTCGTGCGCTGACCGCCGACGGCCCGCACGGCCCGCGCGCTGCCTGCTCCCGGCCCGCCGCTGCTGAGCCCGCCACCGCCCGCGCACCGCCGCTGCTGAGCCCGCCGCCGCCTGCGCACCGCCGCTGCTGCGCCCACCGCAGCCCGCGTATCACCGCTGCTGAGCCCGCCCCTGCTGCGCCGGCTCTCGCTGCCGCCTGCTGCGCCTGTGCACCACTGCAGATCCTACTACTACACTTCCTGCTACTGCTGCTTGTGCGCCACTACAGTCCGTAGGCCCCACCGGCCCCGCTGACCCTGCGCACGCCTTTTCAGTGACTTTACTGCTTCTACTACTGCCGCTGTCGCTATGGCTAGTCCTCCTGTTCTAGCTTTCGACGCCGAGGGCCGTCCGGTCAAATTCGAAACCTGGCTAGATGACCTGCACCTTTTCCTACAGCTCACTGCCAAGGAAGATATTACACTGTACGACCACGCTCTCGGCCATGCGACCGCCCCACTCGCTACTGCCCCCCCAGCTGAGCGCTCACAGTGGCAGACCCGTGACGCGCACGCTCGCTTTGCTATTCGCAACTCCCTGCCGCTAGATGAGCGCGAGCACTTCGGCCAGTGCAAGACTGCTAAGGACCTCTACACAGCTGTAGTGGCCCGCTACTCCTCACCCGCTTCTGCCACGCTAGGCCGCCTCACTCTCCCCTACCTGTTCCCCGACCTAGCCTCCTTTCACACTGTCGCAGACCTCATCACCCACCTTAAGACTAGTGAGGCTCGCTTTCGCGCTGCCATGCCTGACGAGTTCCTCGCTAGCAACCCCCCCCCGCTCTGGATCACTCTCTACCACGTTGTCACCCGCCTCCCTGACTCTCTGCGCCCTGTCAGGGACCAGTTCCTCTCTCGCTCCCCCACTGAGCTCACCGTAGACCTCCTCGAGAAGGAACTGCTTGCAGCCGAGGCTAGTATCGTCGCTGTAGGCACCTCTCGTGGCGACCCCCGCGGCCCCTTCTTCGAGGGGTGCTCCCCTTCCCCCCTCCTCCCCTCTGTCGCCTCTGCTGCTGCTGTCGACCTCCTTGGTGCTGAGAAGGTCGGGGCTGCG